GTTCCACCAGTAAGTTAACTACATTTTGCAGTAGCTTGGTGGTAGTTTAACTAAATTCAAATCTAGGTAGTGTTTTCAGTAGTTAATAAATGTTTTGCCATGTAGCGGTGTAGCTAACTACTGGAACTACACACTACTCTTTTTCCAAATATAAAATATGGGTGAAGTAGCCAATGATTTCCTTTCGCATCAGACATGCCTAATTCTCATTTGAAATTTAGTTTTTGTGTTTAATAGGCTAAATTACACATCATGTTAACATATGACCGCAAAGTGATTTGTTCTTACAATTTGTAATCATTGACATTTCAGATTTACATATGAAATTTTTTTTACAAAGTAATTTGGATGTAGTGAACTACTTTTTCAAAGTAACTTTAGTTAAGTCAACTATATTTCTCTTAAGGGTAGCTTTAGTGTAGCTTAACTTGGTAGTGTGGTAAACTACTGTCTCTTTTCAGAGCAGCTTCCCCAACACTGCTTATGACACACGACATTCAAAATAAAGCCACAAAACTCTCACCTGAAAAGGTCTAGGGGTGGTTTTATAAATTTCTACCTGTTCACCACAAATTAGGGTATCCTGGGAAACATGTACAAAAACTATAGTTCCTACCATGTCACACTAGGAAATGGCCACGTTTGAGTGGTAAGGCTAAAGCAACCGACTGTAGACTAAAGTTGAGGAGTGAAGTCAGGGGAGGTGCATCTGTGACAGTCGAAAGTCAGACACTAATATGTTTTTCCAACAGAAAGCCTTAGATCAACAAGTTTTTCCTTATAATGTCGAAATAAACATGTCTCCAACCCCAATATCACACACTCACAAACTGAAAAATATGTGTGTGTCATTGGGAGGACGACTCATAATAATGGCTGGAACGGCGCAAATGGAATGGCATCAAACACATGGAAGAAGCCATGTGTTTGGTGTATTTGATACCATTCCACTATTTCCGCTCCAGCCATTACAACGAGCCCATTCTCCCCAATTAAGGTGCCACCAACCTCCTGTGGTGTGTGTACATTGTACAATCAATTAGTCATAAAATGTGTATATCCACTGTAGACTGCTATATATGAATGGCCGCAAAGTTGGTTCCTGTTTCAGTCATGTCTTTGGTCATTTTTGTGTGAGTCAAACTAAAACACCCTAATGATTGGTTGACAATAGAGCCTCCCACAATGCAAGTGATGGCTGCAGCATGAAGTTGGTGAAGAGCAATTGCAGAAACTTGCAGTCAAAACTTCATGACCTTTGATCACATGATTTTTGTAAAGTTCATGCAATCGAAATTTAGGCGCAAGTCTGACAATTTTTATCCCCATAATGCAACGATGGTCACCAACTTGACAAAAATGATCCACTCGAATCCATGATGTATTGTTGGTAAATAATGACTGACTGACTGACTGATCTACAAATAATAATGAGTAGCACGATTTGAGTAGTAGACAGCACAATATATATATATATATATATATATATATATATATATATATTTTACAGATAGCCAAGGGCACACTCCAACCCTCAGACATAATTTACAAACAAAGCATTTGTATTTAGTGAATCCGCCAGATCAGAGGCAGTAGGGATGACCAGGGATGTTCTCTTGATAAGTGTGTGAATTGGACAATTTTCCTGTCCTGCTAAGCATTCGTAATGTAACGAGTACTTTTGGGTATCAGTGAAAATGTATGGAGTAAAAAGTACATTATTTTCTTTAGGAATGCAGTGGAGTAAAACTAAAAGTAGTCAAAAACATAAATAGTAAAGTAAGGTACAGATACCCCAAAAAAACTACTTAAGTAGTAGCCTAAAGTGTTTTTAGTTAAGTACTTTACACCACTGTCAGTCAGTCGGCAGTCGCCTGTACTATCGGCTTCAATGTCGAACAAGCCCAATTTTGGTAAGCATAACGCAAGACACTTTTGAAAGGTGGTGACCAACGATTGTCACTGACTTGTTCAGGAGCATCAAATCTATTATGCATTGTGGGTAAATGGTGATTGACTGACTGACTGATCTACAAATAATAATGAGTAGTTATTTATAATGCGAGGTGATTTGTAGATCAGTCAGTCGGCTGCAATGTCGAACGAGCGCAATTTTGGTCCCATAATGCAACACACTTTGAAAGGCGGCTTGACAAAAGTGATCCGCTCAAACGCACCCATTAACTTTCTTGAATTTGTCTTGAGTCTGAGTCTAGAATGTACCAACGTTTGGTCACTGACGACCTTCTATCACAGTAAAACTACAATTCCATACATGCCAGGTTGTACACGTCATAACCAATTGCAAGAACCCAATTCCTGGCGGTAGTGCCAGATCAACGTGGGATAAAAATAAAAAGCTCTGTTAGGTGAGTGTTTCATTTAATTATACCACTGTTATATAACCTTGATTTAAATTGTTGTCGCTGTGTCTACTGCGAAACTAGAGTAAAGTTACTAGGGCGATGAGGCTGTTTTACAATGCAAATAAGCTAGCTAGCTACCTAACGTTAGCTTGATTGATTACAGACGCTAACCTAACGTTACTGAGTTCATGTAGCTAACGGTTAGTGGCTAAGCTAATGTTAGTTGTAAAGAGGCAATCTGTCTTTTGCTTCTCCAGTACTAAAGTAATTTGTTTGTTCAGTTCAGTGCGTTGTGGATAGGCTATTTTATGCTCATGGAATACCTATTTTGGGCGTGGTAACTATCTGTGGTTGAGACTTTAAAATTACAGAGGCAGTTTGACTAGTGGCCTTTTTTTTTTTCTTCACTTGTTTACCAGTACTCGGTAGGTATAAAGTCTAACATAAAAGACATCCAATGTAAATCTAACATTGGTTAGATTTGAAATTAAAAGATGTCACCAGATTCTGAAGCTGTCTGTGGCTGTAGCAACAGAGCCTAGGCTACTTCCATTTTCCATTTTAAATCATTTAGCAGACACTCTTATCCAGAGTGAACTACAATTAGTGCATTCATCTTAAGATAGCTAACGTTAGGTGAGAAAACAACACATCACATTCGTATTAAGTACATTTCCCCTCATCAATTTATCAAAGTCAGTGTTAGTAGGAAAAGACAAGTGTTATTTTTTGGGGAGTAGCAGCACCTGTTGGTGGTGAGTCAATTGTAGCCAGTCAGCGGCAGTGTTTTGCCTCAAGCTTCTGATTTGTTTAAATAATAAACCTTCTCCTCATTCCCATGTTCCAGGTTTGGGATTGGAGTTGCTGTTGGCGATCAGGATGATTGACGTGCAGGCGTGGGCGGAGTACCTGGTGGAGTGGGCGGCCAAGGACCCCTACGGCTTTCTGACCACAGTCATCCTGGCGCTTACACCCCTCTTCATCGCCAGCGCCCTGTTGTCGTGGAAACTGGCAAAGATGATTGAGGTGCGCGACCGCGAACAGAAGAAGAAGCAGAAACGCCAGGAGAATATCGCCAAGGCCAAGAGGACCAAGAAAGACTGAGCTGTAGAGCGAGAGGAGGAAGAATAGCTACAGTACACAGCTATGCTCAACGCTCTCTTCACTTGCAACACCGCTCCCCCTCGCCTCCTCAACCCAGTCCAGTGCAGGACCACAGACCATCACTCCTGTCCAGTCTAGGAAGGATTGTAGGCCTTACGGTGCTGAGAGGGAACTGTATAGACAGAGGAGGCTCATTTGATTGGGCTATCATCAGCGTGTAAACCAGGATTGTCTGCGTAATTCACAATGTGGAGATCCACTGTCTGATTATGGTGGTGTTGCAGTACTTAGCATTCCATTTGTAACAACCTCACTTCAATGATTTCATTAACTACTTTGATTGTTTTTCTGCATTTTAAATTACTTATTAAATATCCGAATAATTTGCTTGTTTTTATTAAATTAAGTTCTAAATCAAATAGGCTTGTATTTTCTTCTTGCAAAACATAACTCCCCATAACCCTGCCTGTATGATGTTTAACTGAAAAGGGTTGAGTTCCTGCCCGACTTGATGCGCAGGCGTTGCACTGCATCAACCAATGGTTGCATGCCATGTCATCAACTGTTCAGTCGGACATAGATTGCTATATCATATGTGTTTAGCTGATAATTAAACACCTGTCCAAGCGTTTTGAGATCTGACAGGAGTCTGCTATGGAGTCGGGCAGGAACTCGACCAAGATGTGATCCAGGTTGTTTTCATGCAAAAAAATGTGTTTAAAAGGTTTGTAGTGTCAGGTGAGTGTGTGTTGGGGGTGTATAATCATACCAAATACGTAAAGCCATAAAAAAAAAAAAGAACTTAATATAATATGTATGCCATTTAGCAGACACTTCATCCAAATCAATTTACAATAGTGCGTTCATACCTTTTTGTATGGGTGGCCCCAGCGGGAATCGAACCCACCATTATGACATTGCAAACACCATGATCTACCAACTGAAAAACACAGTACCACCTACTTGCCAGCACTTACATCACATCCCAGTTTGCTCAAGCCTGGCAGTTTCATTTACAATCCACAAAAAAATCATCAAATATACCTTGATTACCTACAACAGAACTTTATATACAAAGCCTTTACAGTATAGTTGGGGAGATCAGATAAAATGTGTCTTCCACACCCCATGAATGCCATGTACTATGTCAAGTATTCCCTGATTCAACGCAATAAAAGCTTTTTCATATAAGAGCGTTGAGCGCTCCCATTAGTTTACATCATGTCCAGTGTTGTATTCATTACTGCAAACAGTAATACAACGCGGTTGCAGCGGAAACCGCTTACGTCAAGTTTGTTTGGAATGACCTGTTTCCATTGCCAAGCATTTTGCTAAAGTGTGCACTAATGAATACGACCCAGTCCACCTTCCAGCCCCAAGTTCCCTGTACTAGCCTTCATTCCCGCTCCCCCCAAGCTATATCACAGGACTATATAGTTCAGTCTGCTTCGTGTTTTATTTTTTACCCTGGAAAATCCAGTATCGCGGTATCGCAATACTGTTATCGTGACCCAGTTTGTGTGTGTGTATCTATTTCTTGACTGCGGGTGTCCAGGAGCCAGGCTGGAATGTGTTGGCTGTACTGACAGGCTCCTCGCTGGTCTCTGGCTGGCCGAAGCTGGAAGCGGCGGCGTGGCCCTTGGCTATGGTCTGAGCAGGCCAAGCCACCAGCCCCTCCTCATACTCCTTAGCCTGCAGAAGCAGCTCTCTCTCCTCCACCTCCCTCGCCTTGCCTTTTATGTGCTCCCTGTAGTTCTGGTTCCTCACCAGCTCCTGTGAAGGGTACACACACTCACAGATTTAATATCAGAGGTAAAACCAAGGCTTTTGAACAGACTCAGTCCTTTTGAGGGGATAGTTAGGAGTCCTCCTAACTCATCCATAAGTGCTCAACCCTGAACATCACACATCAGCGGCAGCTAAAGCTAGCGTCCAGTCCGTGGTGTTAGTTTTGCCTTGGCAGAGCCAGAGAGCCATGGCCAGGGAGGGAAGCCTGGACTTCTTGCTGTTGTGTGTTGGCAGCAGAACTAGCAGGCTGTGAAGGAAGAGGGGAGACCAGGGCCAAACAGCCCTGCTTTGGGGAGCGAGGCGAGCATATTGAACCGCTTTTCCAGCCTGTTAATGACAGGATTTAATCCAATCAATTATGTAAACTTGGACAGGGACGAAATGAAACGTTAAGGGAGGGAGGGCATAAAGTACCGGGGGAGCGGTTTTGGCTACACCACTGTCCAGCTGTGGACGACTGCACTGGGCAGACAGTATGCAGAAAATTGGAATAGAATGTTCTGGCGACACTGAGGTAGGAACGGCATTGGCCATTGGCATGGAGTACACAGAGAGGGGCTGCCTGGGCATTAGCCTTGTAGAGGCTTTCCCATAGCCTCCATTTCACTGGACAAATAAGCATTCTGCTATAGTCGATAACATAAACCTTGTACATCTAGAAGCTGAATATGAGTTATTGAGAATATAGAGGAAGTTCTATCACTTCAATTCCAAGTCAATTGTTCTCTATGAAAAATGGAGTTGTTTGAGAATAGGAAAGTTAGCAGGCTAACTCTTTGATCCTGTTCTGTGATGTAGGCCTAGCCCTTGACGTCTAGCTATGGGCCTTGGTCTAAAGTAGCGCACTACATAGGGAATAGGGTGCCATTTGGGACACCACCAAAATGAGAAGTGTGACGGTTTAGCCCATAGAGATAGATAGAGGGCTCATCTTTATATCTGTGCCATTATAGGGTCTGTGACAGCATGGGCAGCACCATTGAGGCAATCTCCATTTTGAAGTCGTCAATTTTCTTCTTCATGATTGGCTGATCCCTCCTGATGACCCAGTTGAACATGACTCCAACAGGGTCACCAGGATGGATCAGCCAATGAAGTTGGAAGTCCCACCCAGTTGACTACATTAAAATGGTGGAAGCCCTTAACGGCACTGCCCATGCTAATATGGCCTTTTGGCCACTAGAGGCCTCTATCATTCGCTATGATTTACCCCCACCACCCACAACCTGTCCCATCCTCTGCTAAACAGACAGATGGACACAGAAAGACAAAGATATTTATACAAACATAAAGGAAGTAAACTAGGACATATTACTGTGACTGTCTACACTCACTAGCACCCTCAAGCTATAGTTTATTTTTAACACCCGTCCCCCAACATTTCCTGGCTCTGTTGAAAACGGAGAAAAAGCTAAACAAAGTGTTTCTCCTAGTCTCTTCCCTCCCCGTACCCAGTCCCCCAGAGCCCCCCACAAACACAGCAGGGGTACGCACTTTGATGGAGGGGGCCTGCTTCCGTCTGCCTCGGATCCAAGCTGGAGAAGGGAACAGACAGACGAGAGTTAGAACACCCACACACTGCACAAACAAAATGAACAGTTACCGGCCATTTACAATATACAAGCAGCACTTGCCTAGCCACGCTAGCCTCCATTGAAAGTGAATAGCTTCCGATGTTTCACTGCACGATGCCGCTTTCTAGTGTAAACGGCCCGTTAAACTTCATATCCAATGTAACAGCATAGAATCAGTTGTTTAATTGTGTAGTTAAGTAAAGCCCCCCCCCCGGCCAAACCCTCCCCTAACCCGAAACGATGCTGGGCCAATTGTGCGCCGCCCTAAGGGACTCCCGATCACGGCCGGTTGTGACACAACCTGGGATCGAACCCAGGTCTGTAGTGACGCCTCAATCATTGCGATGCAGTGCCTTAGACCACTGTGCCACTCGGGAGGCCCAGTGTATGCATTTAAACTACTGTACAGCATAAAGCAAGAGACAGCAGATCTCTTCTCCTCCGATCCTTGCATAAACCTCTCTCTCTCCATCTATCGCTCCCTCCTTCTCTAAAGCAAGTCAAAGACAGAGAACATTTTCTATGTAGTTGTATGGAAAATGGAAACCGTTTTTGAGAATGGCAGATAGGGTGCCTTTGATACATTCATGAATACATTTCTGAATAAATAGGTGATTAATGTTAGTTCTAGTACAGTTATTTTTGTCTAGTACTATTATGTAATCTGTACTATAGTGGTATTCAGAGCCCCAGATTCACAGGGTCCATGACTTAGACCATACCGTGGAGACTAGCAAGCGTCCATATAGCATACAGCTAAAGTATCAGTACCCCGCCCAGCGATGTCCCCACATTACCATCCCACTCTGAGGGTATGCTGCCTTCCAGTTACTCAAACTCTGTAGGATTAACCACCACCACCATCCGCTTGGTCCGGACAATCCTCCCTAAGAAAACAATGAGAGAGAGAAAGAGAGATTATTTTAAAAACATCAATGCAGGAAAATAGACACGTAATCAAGCGCATAAAAAAAATCCCGACACAAACAGACAAACACATTTGAGACATGCACGCACGTACGCAAAACACACACACACACAGAGGGGTGACAGTGTTCTGACAGTCCATGGATGATTAGCTTGTGGCCCTCAGGCCTGCTCCTCAGATCTCTCAGAGTGTGTCCAAATCTGGGCTAAGCCTTATGTAAATCAGCCCTCCTAACCCACCAACCACAGCCCCCCTCACTGACACCCTCATCCAATCGCAGCCCTCCGCTAACAATGCCCTCCAAATCAACGTCAAGCCGTACAGGAGACAAAAGAGGTCAGATATGACAGGCAACACAAGAGAGATGAGCTGAGAGGAATACTAAAACACTCTCTCCCATTCTGTATTCTACAGCGCTAGCAGCAAGGCCACCACCAATTATTTTTGGGGAAAACTGCTGATTAAACAAGTGGAGCACAGTGTCATGCACAGTGTCATGCACAGTGACATGCAGAGTGACATGCACAGTGTCATGCAGAGAGACATGCACAGTGACATGCACAGTGACATCCAGAGAGACATGCAGAGAGAGAGAGGGATGAAGGGATGAAGAGAAAGATATTGAGCAGTAAAGATTCTCACAACATTCCCTAATGATGTCTTTTTCACATTCCCAGAAGTACGTGTGAGAGAGAGAGAGAGGGAGAGAGGGAGAGAGAGAGGGAGAGAGGGAGAGGGAGAGAGCGATAGTGAGTGAGAGAGAGAGAGGTAGAGAGAGAAGGAGCGAGGGATGAGGAGAGGGTAGAGCGAGAGAGAGAGGGAGGAGAGAGAGAAGGAGCGCGGAGAGGAGAGGGTAGGGGAGGGTAGAGGAGAGAGAGGAGCGGGAGAGGGAGAGTGTGTGAGAGGAGCGAGAGAGGAGGATTTGAGAGGAGGTAGGGAGAGAGAGAGGAGCGAGGAGAGAGGTGAGGAGAGAGAGGGGGTAGAGAGAGAGGTCGGTAGAGAGAGGGAAAGAGGGTAGAGAGAGCGAGAGAGGTGAGAGAGAGCGAGAGAGAGAGAGGGGTGGGTAGAGGGAGGGAGGAGAGACGGAGGAGGGAAGAGAGAGAGAAAAGGGGGTGGGAAGAGAGAGAAGGGAGGGGAAGAGGAAGAAGGGGGTAAAGTGGGGCCGGCCCCGGGGGTTGGCCCCGGGAGGGGAAAGGGAGCGGGGGGGTGAGAGGGGGGAGAGGGAGGGATGGGGGTTTTTGAAGGGGGCGAGGGGGAAGAGGGGGTAGAGAGAAAAGAGGGAAAGGGGAGAAGAGGAGGGCGAGAGAAGAAGAAAATTGAAAAGGGGCAAGGGGAAAGGGGTTTTAAGGGAGAGGGGGTGGGAGGGGACCCGGGAAGGGGGGGGATAGGAAGGAGAAAGAGAGAAAACAAGAGGGGAGGAGAGAGAGGGGGGGAAAAGGGGGGGGTAGGAGAAAGACGGGGGAAAGGAAGGAGAGGGGGGTTTGTTTCTCTACTTAGGGAATTAGCCTGTAAATTTTATCTTTTGGAAGGGTAAAAAACTTCGTTTTTTTGTAAAGGATGTTTGGTTTGGAAAAGGCTTAAAGCAACATCAATCTGTCAACATTCCATCACCATTCCACTCCAGCCGAATCCATTAAACCTCACAGAGCTGAAGACCAGTGGACATGGACAAATGGCACCACTACACATACACAGAGAGAGAGAGAGAGAGAGAGAGAGAGGAGAGAGAGAGAGAGAGAGAGAGAGAGAGAGAGAGAGAGAGAGAGAGAGAGAGCGAGAGAGGAGAGAGAGAGAGAGAGAGAGAGAGAGAGAGAGAGAGAGAGAGAGAGAGAGAGATCAGACTGATGAGCCTGCTGTTGGTCCAAGGATAACAGATAGATGTGACATGTGGATGGATGAGGCAGTAGACTATGTCCAGCATACATGGCCTCCTCTCCTCCTCTCCTTTCCTTCGTTTGCACGGATCTTAAGACACAGCACTGGTGAAAGCAATAAGATGTATGCCAGGTAGGCCTATTTACAGTGGGGGAAAAAAGTATTTAGTCAGCCACCAATTGTGCAAGTTCTCCCACTTAAAAAGATGAGAGAGGCCTGTAATTTTCATCATAGGTACACGTCAACTATGACTGATACATTTAGGGGGAAAAATCCAGAAAATCACATTGTAGGATTTTTTATGAATTTATTTGCAAATTATGGTGGAAAATAAGTATTTGGTCACCTACAAACAAGCAAGATTTCTGGCTCTCACAGACCTGTAACTTCTTCTTTAAGAGGCTCCTCTGTCCTCCACTCGTTACCTGAATTAATGGCACCTGTTTGAACTTGTTATCAGTATAAAAGACACCTGTCCACAACCTCAAACAGTCACACTCCAAACTCCACTATGGCCAAGACCAAAGAGCTGTCAAAGGACACCAGAAACAAAATTGTAGACCTGCACCAGGCTGGGAAGACTGAATCTGCAATAGGTAAGCAGCTTGGTTTGAAGAAATCAACTGTGGGAGCAATTATTAGGAAATGGAAGACATACAAGACCACTGATAATCTCCCTCGATCTGGGGCTCCACGCAAGATCTCACCCCGTGGGGTCAAAATGATCACAAGAACGGTGAGCAAAAATCCCAGAACCACACGGGGGGACCTAGTGAATGACCTGCAGAGAGCTGGGACCAAAGTAACAAAGCCTACCATCAGTAACACACTACACCGCCAGGGACTCAAATCCTGCAGTGCCAGACGTGTCCCCCTGCTTAAGCCAGTACATGTCCAGGCCCGTTTGAAGTTTGCTAGAGTGCATTTGGATGATCCAGAAGAGGATTGGGAGAATGTCATATGGTCAGATGAAACCAAAATATAACTTTTTGGTAAAAACTCAACTCGTCGTGTTTGGAGGACAAAGAATGCTGAGTTGCATCCAAAGAACACCATACCTACTGTGAAGCATGGGGGTGGAAACATCATGCTTTGGGGCTGTTTTTCTGCAAAGGGACCAGGACGACTGATCCGTGTAAAGGAAAGAATGAATGGGGCCATGTATCGTGAGATTTTGAGTGAAAACCTCCTTCCATCAGCAAGGGCATTGAAGATGAAACGTGGCTGGGTCTTTCAGCATGACAATGATCCCAAACACACCACCCGGGCAACGAAGGAGTGGCTTCGTAAAAAGCATTTCAAGGTCCTGGAGTGGCCTAGCCAGTCTCCAGATCTCAACCCCATAGAAAATCTTTGGAGGGAGTTGAAAGTCCGTGTTGCCCAGTGACAGCCCCAAAACATCACTGCTCTAGAGGAGATCTGCATGGAGGAATGGGCCAAAATACCAGCAACAGTGTGTGAAAACCTTGTGAAGACTTACAGAAAACGTTTGACCTGTGTCATTGCCAACAAATGGTATATAACAACGTATTGAGAAACTTTTGTTATTGACCAAATACTTATTTTCCACCATAATTTGCAAATAAATTCATAAAAAATCCTACAATGTGATTTTCAGGAATTTTTTTAAATCATTTTGTCTGTCATAGTTGACGTGTACCTATGATGAAAATTACAAGCCTCTCTCATCTTTTTAAGTGGGAGAACTTGCACAATTGGTGGCTGACTAAATACTTTTTTCCCCACTGTATTTCACCCGTCACATTTTCCATCACATCAGTGCAGATGAAGAAAAGGAGACGAGGAAAGGAAGGAGACGAGGAGACGAGGAAAGGAACGAGACGAGGAGAGGAAAGCCCTTTAAGCTATTGAGATACACCCACAGTAATCAGGCTAAATAGCCTACCTCTCTTTAGTTCTTAGCTATAGTCTAGACTAATGACTAGTGTAAAGTCAGCTATGCTACAGTAGTTACTAAGCTATATAGACCCACTGCATGGTAGCCTACATAGTAGCTAGGCCTATCAATTGGTTCAGCCTATGAGAAAAGAGATTGTATAATCGTTCTATTTGTTTACATGCATGTCTTTATCATTCAGCTTAGAGCAGCTTCATTGAAAAACCGCCAGGACATACAATTCAAAGATAAGCCTGCATCTCTAGGCAATACCAACAAATACATTAAAACAGGTAGTAAGCTAATTATAAACAGGTCTTATCCACATTTGCATTGGGTGTGTGCGGTGGAGGATAAATACACTGCTCAAAAAAATAAAGGGAACACTAAAATATCACATCCTAGATCTGAATGAATGAAATAATCTTATTAAATACTTTTTTCTTTACATAGTTGAATGTGCTGACAACAAATCACACATCAAGGTATCAACTGGCGTCTGGATTTGGGAGTGGAGCCACCGAGGCTGATCCAACATGTAATGTCCAGATGTGGCTCCATGGATGATTCAAGCAGTTGATGGTGGGGAACTGAGGGTCCGGGCCAAGTCTCCTGGATAGCATCAATGCCTTCCTCTTGCAGGAACCACTGCCTGACACACTCCCAGCCACATGAGGTCTAGCCTTGTCTTGCATTAGGAGGAACCCAGGGCCAACCGCACCAGCATATGGTCTCACAAGGGGTCTGAGGATCTCATCTCGGTACCTAATGGCAGTCAGGCTACCTCTGGCGAGCACATGGAGGGCTGTGCGGCCCCCCAAAGAAATGCCACCCCACACCATGACTGACCCACCGCCAAACCGGTCATGCTGGAGGACGTTGCAGGCAGCAGAACATTCTCCATGGCGTCTCCAGACTCTGTCACGTCTGTCACGTGCTCAGTGTGAACCTGCTTTCATCTGTGAAGAGCACAGGGCGCCAGTGGCGATTTTTCCAATCTTGGTGTTCTCTGGCAAATGCCAAACATCCTGCACGGTGTTGGGCTGTAAGCACAACCCCCACCTGTGGACGTCGGGCCCTCATACCACCCTCATGGAGTCTGTTTCTGATCGTTTGAGCAGACACATGCACATTTGTGGCCTGCTGGAGGTCATTTTGCAGGGCTCTGGCAGTGCTCCTCCTGCTCC